CGTCACGGTCGAGGTCCTCGCGGGCGACGCGCACCGTGCCCGTGTACTTGAGCGGCTTGCCGTCGAGGTAGGACAGCGGCATGGTCCGGCGCGGCGGGCAGCGGACGGATTCAGGCCCGACCGCGGCAGCCCACGCGGGCGACGCGCACCGTGCCCGTGTACTTGAGCGGCATGCCGTCGAGGTAGGACAGCGGCATGGTCCGGCGCGGCGGGCAACGGGCCTGGCCGCGGCAGCCCACCATCACGGCGCTGGCTGCGGAATTGATTGCAGCACGTTGACCGTCAACTTCACGATGAGGCTTCATCATCGGCGCGCCGGTTTGCCGATGGAGTTTGATGCGCGGCCGCGCACGTTCGTCGCGGACGCCAAGTTCGGGGACGTCATCGCGTGCCTCGTCGCCCGCGGCTGGCGGCGCGTCGCGCTGGACCGGCGCGACGCCGCGCTGTCCTGGCGGAACCTCGCGAAGACGGACTTTGGGCGCCTGGCGCCGGGCGCTATCGTCAACCACTTCTCCGGCAGCCAGGCCGTGAGCCACAAGGCGACGCTCGCGGCGGCGCTGGCCGACCGCGGCGCCGACTACTACCCGGCGTGCTACGACCTGCGCCTGCCCGCGCACGCGCGGCGGTTCCTCGCGCACTGGGCGTCGGCCGCGGCCGCGGCGGCGCTCCGGTCGTGCCCGCGGGGCGCCGCGCGCGACGCGGGCCTGCTCGCGGCCGCCGTCGCCGCGGCCGCCGGCGGCGCGGACGGGGCCGACGCCGCGGCGACGGACGCGGTCCTCGCCGCGCTGCTCCGCGCGCCGCCCGGCGGCGCCGGCGACGCCGCGGCGCTCGCGGCGCGCCTCGGCGCGGCCCCCGCGGCCGCGGCGCGCGCCGCGGGGCCCGGCGGCGCCTGCGACGCCGGCCGCGGCGCCTGGCTCGTCAAGCCCGCGGGCGGCAGCTGCGGCGCGGGCATCTCCTGCGCGGACTCGCTCCGGGCCGCGGCCGCCGCCCGCGCGGGAACGCCGCCGCCCGTCGACGCGCCGCGCGCGCGCGCGTCGCGCGCGCGACGCGTCCGACCCCCGCCCGGCGCGACGGCCCGCGCGCGCGCAGGTCGCCGCGGC